GTGTAGTGAAGGGTGTCCCAGCCCATGGCAGGGGGTGGGACTGCCCAAACCATGCTGAGATTCTGTGACTCCTCCGAGCTTCAGCCACTGGCCAGGACTATACTGACCAAGATTACAAAGTGCGACAAATTCAAACAAGTTCAGAACACTCCTTCCAGTAACTCTGCTTAGCAATTCTAGCTGATGTCTGCCACTCTGGCGACTGTGCCCAGCTATTTCGAAGTCCACAAGAGGATTTCATTGAGTTACTCACATTTCATTCCTTGTGATGTAAGAAATTTGCATTTTCCCTTATTGCGGCTTTGCTTTTTTTTTAAAAAAATAAGGTTTTGGATTGTGTGTTGGTTACAAGGACTGGGACTAACGCATTTGCAGGAGGTGGAGTCAGCAAGATAACGACCAATGTAATAGTGGAAAGGGCTTTTTTTAAGAAAGAATATGCTGTGACAAGTTGTGCATGGACCACAGGAAGAGCCTGATGGATCTGGGCTTGTTCAGTCAGAGGGATTTTAATGGCAGCCTGCAACTGCTTTGGAGGGGACTCATAATGAGGTCAGAGTCAACCTCCTCATGGTAAGGGAAAGGAGACAGAACAGGGACAACAGGCACAAATTATAGAACCTTTTAGGTTGGAAAAGACCTTGAAGATCTTCAAGTCCAACCGTTCAAATTGTGGCTTGGTAAATTCAGATTGGACATCTGCAAGTATTTCTTTGCAGAGAAAGGTCACCCAGGGCACTGTTGTTTTGTACTGTGCCAAGCACCATGTCTCAGTCTCTCGGGGCTGCAGATGCTGCCACACTGGGTGTGGTAAACACGCCTGGCACGTGAACGTCCTCTCGGCCAGGATACGGACCTCAGGTCCCACACCCGGAATCGCCTGCTACGGTGTTCTTGCACAAATAAAAAGGGTGGTGACAGGCAGGCTGGGATGTGAGCAAACACACTTAGAGAAAATGAAACACAAAGGAACTTCCAAGCACCTGGAATCCTCCCTCTCCCCTCAGGAATGAAGCTGAGGGCTTAACCCACAAACACCACACTAACCTTCACTCGTGGCTGTGCTAAATACTCCTAGAAGTGAAGTGTGGTGATAGGATGACAGCTCAGATGGAAACTCTCCTCTTAAATATCCTTCTGCTTCATCAACTGTGGTCAGCTTCAGAGGGCAGGACACTCGGCTCCTACAGAACGGCAAGGAAACAACACGGGCTGCCTTCCTCTTCACTTTTGGGATGAAGAGACAAAAGGGCAACCTCAGTCCAATACCCCAACACAACATGACAACCGTTAAGCCTCATTAGAGACAAAAATCAGTCGCATGGGAAGGAAGGACAACTAGTCACAGACGAACCAGAGCTGGTTATGAGGAGAACAGCCCTGAGCCAAAGTGTTTGCTCTGAGATCCTTGGGATCCCCATTAAAAATAACAGAGAAGGAATTCCAGCAAAGAGAGAGGGACAGTGACAACAGACGGACAGATGCACTGTCCAAGAACAGATGTTGCCTGACGTCGAAAAGCACAAGAAGTTATTAAGCTGATTTCCAAACCAGGGCGACAACCCGATCTGACATGATTTTTTCCAAGGATTTCAATTACACAGGCCGTTAAGTATCCAGAACATCATCTGGCAGATGTGCCAATCTCACTGTGTGGGTACTCATTAGCAGACACTTACAGCATGATGAAGCTGGTCAGTTCTTCAGTTCCCCACATGCCATTGTACATCACTGACCTCTCTTCCTTCTCGTAAATCTTGACCGTAGGAACCTGAGTGACGTTCTCTGTGGTGCACAGGCCAGGCCAGTCCCAGCAGTTTACTCGAGAAAGCAAAACCCCCTGAGTTCCTAGAGTGGAAAACAAACGTGTATAAATAATATTAAGGAAAAAAAATTTTTAAAAACACACCAAAAAAGGTTGAAAAAGAGAGCTTTTTGTGACCTTCTTTGGATATTATCACATATATTTGTATTAACGCTGCCAGCAATCTTAGTTGCTTTGGCATGCATCCTACAGGGCTGAATCCTAACACACTGCAGGCACATGGAGCAAGCCAAGGTGGGCTACCGCTGCGAAGGTGCCGGACCATTCCTGGAGTCCAATGTTGCTTTTGTGTGGGCAGGGTCTCAAAATCCAGCCCTGAATACACAACCTCTTTGAGTACAGGCTACCTCCCTCTTGAAATCATTCATGGATATGCCTTACACTTTTGAACACAGCAGTAACTATTTCCAGCCTGTGAATGTGTTAAATACCCCAGCAGGTTTGGATTGATCCAAACAATGGGCCACGGAGAGAATAAACCCAGGGAAGTGGTAGGTTGCACTTTTCAGGAGGAAATTCCCAGAGACATTCCCATGTGGCTGGTTACTCAAAGGAATACCATGAAACCCTGAGGCAACTGTCCAGGAGCATAAAAAGCAAGGTACTGGAAATACCTTAGGAATAAGGCCAAGATAAAGAAACGATGCAGGCCCTCACTTACAGGAAAGAGGGAAGATGAAGCTTGTCATGGAGAAGGTGGATGCATTCAAGGCTTTTTCATTTATTAAGGTGCCCAGTGTCTGTTGTGCCTAAAGTATGGAGCCCAATAAATAAGGAGCAGTTCAAGGTCTCGTAAACGTGATAGATGTAATAGAGGCTGGCAGACTGATGGAACTCATCCTATCCTACCTGTGCGAGCTGCTCATCTCCAGGCCACTACCTTCAGGACCTAAAGAGCGAGCCTGGGGTCTCACAGGTAAAGGAGAGGGAAAGGGAGAGCCCTTTGGAATTCCAGAGCAGTCAGTCCAACTTTGGTTCCTGGTACTAAAAAAGCTTTTTATGGGTCTCACCAAAGTGACAAACTCAAGGGATTCATAAGCAGTGAAACACGTGAAGGTTGGTTCCCTGCATGCTCTCCACGAGCCCAGGACACGGTGCCTGCAGCTCCAGCATGGCCTTACCAGCCTTTCTTTCATCTGCACGTTGGGCGATGACCAGAACACGCTGCTGGTGGTCCACTAGCCACCACCCCTTGGCTGCCAGCCTCGCCTAACCTGCCTCCTACCTCCTTGCAGCCTTGACCAAGGACAGGAGGGCTGTGTACTGTCCTCAGGCCATACGTCGTCCATGCCCACTGCAAGAATGTCGTATCTCAGAAATCTTCATGTCTTCCCTAAATTTGTTTGAAGGGGATTCAAGAGGTAGATGGGAAGATGGGATGAAACCTAGAGGCGAGTACACACATGGAAGCAGACCATCGCAGTGTCCCTCAGAAACCAGGGTCAGGGCAGGTGATGAGGATTTCTCAAGAGTACGGTAGATCAAAACAGCCAAGATTCCTTCTCTGTCTGTCCTGGGTTTGATTCTGATCACTATTTTCGTTAAAGGCCTGGCTGATGGACTAAAACATATCTAATCTGCAACTGATCCCAAGCCCAGAGGGGCAGAAAGCAGGTTGAAGCGTAACAACAGCAGCCTTCTGTAACGAGAAGCAGGATGCACGGACATCATCGGTGTTGCAGGAAAGGGCAGAGCTCATTCTGGGATGAGCTCTCAACAGTGTCTGCAAGGCATGGGAGCAAAATGATGCTCTTCTGTCCCACTGAGACCTCTGCAGAGCCCAGCAAGTCAGGCTGGGAAACATGTTTTTAAGGCTTAAACAGATGGGAGAGGATCTGGAGAAGTTTGGAAGACATGACTCTGGAGGAAAAAAATCTCAAGAACTGTGTTGCTCGGAAGGGTTTAAATCACAGGTTAGAAATGTGTCTGCCCGCGGTGGGCAAAGCACATCCACAGAGAAGGGGGAAGGCAGAGGTGACCATAGCACGTGTTCCTATCACCCATCCCTACGTCCTTGGCATCCCACCGGGCCATTTTCTGCAATCCACATTTTAGGTTCTGCTTTGCAGCTCACACAAAGAGTTTGCTGCTGTTCTGCCTTGTGTCAGACTCACGTACAGAAAAAGCAAGAAGCAGCACAGAGCTAAGGGTCTGCAATTCCACTCAGCCAGGAGTTGTCAAAACACTCCACGAGAACAGAAATTAATTGTGTCGTTCTCCAGGCTCTGAAATAACATCTCCAATTAAAAGCCTGCCCCTGGATTTATTTCACACTTCTGATCCAGCAGAGCTGGTTCTCATCATCTGTTACCACTTAATCTTGTGTCTTGCCCAACACTGAGAAAGAATGACACGGAAATAGGGCTTTGATGACTTGTTAAAACTGAGTTGCAAGGCTGCTCTAAGGTCCCTCAAATATGAGCTTTAGTATCTGGATGCTACCTTGGGGGATTACATCCCAAAAGTGCTCCAAAGGAGCTCCATGTGGCCTGAGGAACACCTTGTATGGGATGATCACTCTCCCATCCCCATCTGCACCATATCATTAATTACTGAGCGAGCAGCAGCTTCAGGAGTTGAGTAACTCAGCAATTGCTCAGCCCTGTGGTCGCTGGCGAGCTGCTGGATGGGAAGAAAGGTGAAAGAGGAAGACAAGATCCTACTGTTCTGTGATTTTAGGTGCTAATAAAATGAAGAACAGCGAGAACCTCTGTCCTAGGGGCCTTATGAAACCAGGACAAGACAAATCATCAATGCTATAGAGAGCAGGACAAATCAAGAATCCCTTAAACTCCTAATCCTTTGGAGGGCAGGACTGGCATTTGAAACAGCTCACTTCAAGAGCTGGTCCAAAGGCTACAACATGAAAGAGAAGTAAATTATGTATGAAGTGTAGCACTTCAAGAGGAGGAATCCAATACGGAATGGGAAATGACTACCCGGACAGCATCACACAATGGGCTTTGAAATCCTTCCTGCAGATTTAGGTTCCATGAATATACATTGCTAAATCCCACAGGTGATTTTCATGCCTTTGAACTACAACTTCAGACACACAAGCTTTGGAAGTCATCGGTCAAGACGACTCCACAAGCACAGAAGAGGGAAGCAGAACTGCTTTTCATCACAGTATATTGCTCTTAGATATGGGTTTCCTCTCTTTGCCAAAAAGGCCAATGACACACCTAAGAAATGCTCAGCACTCTCTCACCCTCACATCCTTTTCTCCTGTCCAAGGGGTGCTGCTTCCATAAATTCACATCTAGCAAGAGCTGCAGCAGTTAGCTCCGGTGGCTAGATCGGATTTCTCAACAAAGAGAAAACACTTGAGGGGCTATAAACTTAATTTTGAAATGATCTGCTGAACATCTGTTACTGGATGATTCACAGGGTCATTCCAGCCTCCAATCTCTTCCCCTCCCTTGTGTTTGATCTCATACGGCCTATTTTCAGTGCCATTTTGCATAAAGAATTAGCATCAAAAGTGAGACCCGGTTCTGCAACTCAAAATGTGCCTCTAGAGCGGGTGGTTCATGCCTCAGACAGACGGACCTGGCTTCCCAGCCCTTAGGAAGAAAGCAGAGATATCCAGCACCACTAACGCAGCCGTTCTCCATCCTCTCTGAGGCCACAGCAGGGAAAGCAGGCTGGAGTCATTCCGCAGGTCACATCTGGCCTGGGAGCCTTTGGTGGGACCTCATTGATCACCAAGGAAAGGCCCTGACCCCTATCAGTGTATAATCTCTGCTGAGCATCTGCCTGCAGCTGCTTCCACGTTCCGAGATTATTATCAAGTGATTCAAAAAACACATGGGGAAAGCCTGGCCGCGCAGAATCACCAAGGTTTGGCCACTGGCTCAGGAAGAGGCAGGGTTTCATCCACAGACTCTCCCAGATTGCTGCTTTAGTTGGTCTGCCTGCTGGGGAGTCTAACAGAAACCCCAAACCATCAACAAGCATAACCTCACAAACAACAAACCTCCCTGAGCTTTCCTCTTTATTCCCAGGATTTCAGATCAAAGCTGCTGGTGACTTTCCCTTCACGCAAGCTACGAATGCAGAACCGCTTTTATCCAAACCACAGCACCATCTGCAGCGTTCCCAGAAGGGTTTCATGTAAGCAACTCCCACTGCATCTCCTTCCCAGAAAGCTGGCTGGGTCCTCTGCGGACCCTGTACATGTCCCCACTGCTGAGAGCACAGCGTGAACCCTGCTTGCACTCTGCCCCGTCCCAGGGGAGTGCCATCCCTACGGGAAACGTGCCTTGATGAAGAAGGAAAACCAAGAGAAGGCACCAGCTGCCTCCGAGGGTGCCACAGCAGCTCTCGCCTGGATCCACGCTACCTCCCTGCTGTGCTGCAGTGAGCTGGGGGTGAAGCTTAAGGGAGACCTTATTGCAGCCTTCTAGTGCCTGAAGGGGCTACAAGGAAGCTGGGGGGGACTTTTTACAAGGGCCTGTAGTGACAGGACAAGGGGTAACGGGTTTAAATTGAAAGTGGGGAGGTCTAGATTGGATATCAGGAAGGAATTCTTCCCCGAGAGGGTGGGGAGGCACTGGGACAGGTTGCCCAGAGAAGCTGTGGATGCCCCATCCCTGGAAGTGTCCAAGGCCAGGCTGGATGAGGCTTGGAGCTACCTGGTCTAGTGGAAGGTGTCCCTGCCCATGGCAGGGAGGTTGGAACTAGATGATCTTTAAGGTCCCTTCCCACCCAAACCGTTCTATGATTCTATGATTCTAAGCTACCTGACCTCCTCCTGCAGCCATGGGGAGAAAGAGGCATCTCTGGAAGAAAATCAGCCCATGATGGATGGATGTGCAGAAGAACCCACCTTTCCCAACTAATTGTAGAGAGGGACGGGGCTAATGACCTGAAAGAAGCTGAATTGGGGCTTACACTGCTCAGGAACTGCTCAGACCCTCTTGGAGGATCACTCCCTCCTGCCTGTACTGCCACACTGCCCAGCGTGTGCTGCGTTTAAGCGCTGCGCGTTCTTCACCATCACGTGTTATCTATGGAGTCCTGCGGCCGCCTGCAAGTCTTCCCATGTAATTAAGCCAGTCTCCAGGCCCTGAAGGCACCAGTGCTGTAAATCCTTCCTCTGAGGCCGTCCTGTCCCGGTGGATCTGGGGCTGCTCACACCCGTCTGTCATGCTTTCCGCCGAAGCCAGGGCCAGTTACTGCTCCTTTCCAGCTCAAGTACTTCCACGGACAGGAGATCCTGTGCCACCCAGCACACCGATTTCTGTGCAGCAGGTAGTGCATCTCCTTGGTCTGTGCAGCACCTAGCACTGAGGGGCACAAACAGGGCCCTGTTTCTGTGACACTGCCTACAGTGCCTGCTGTTTGCCCCTCCTTGCTCTGAAGCCCACCCTGTGTCACCCGCCGCTGCTGGTGCTCTGCCCTGGCCCTCCCCATGCTCTTGGGTACTCATCACACTGTCACTGTGCCCACCACCATCATCATCGTCACCACCATCACCAGCATCATCACCAGCATCCAGCACGAAGTCGCTGTGCCCACCACCATCACCAGCATCATCACCAGCATCCAGCACACAGTCCCTGTGCCCACCAGCATCACCAGCATCATCACCAGCATCCAGCACGCAGTCCCTGTGCCAACCACCCCTGTGCCCACCAGCATCACCAGCATCATCACCAGCATCCAGCACGCAGTCCCTGTGCCCACCAGCATCACCAGCATCATCACCAGCATCCAGCACGCAGTCCCTGTGCCCACCAGCATCACCAGCATCATCACCAGCATCCAGCACGCAGTCCCTGTGCCCACCAGCATCACCAGCATCATCACCAGCATCCAGCACGCAGTCCCTGTGCCCACCAGCATCACCAGCATCATCACCAGCATCCAGCACGCAATCCCTGTGCCCACCAGCATCACCAGCATCATCACCAGCATCCAGCACGCAGTCCCTGTGCCCACCAGCATCACCAGCATCATCACCAGCATCCAGCACGCAATCCCTGTGCCCACCAGCATCACCAGCATCATCACCAGCATCCAGCACGCAATCCCTGTGCCCACCAGCATCACCAGCATCATCACCAGCATCCAGCACACAGTCACTGTGCCCACCAGCATCGTCACCACCATCACCAGCATCCATCACATGACTTGCTGTGGGTCTGCCTTCTATAAGAATCATAGAATCATACAATCACAGAATGGTTTGGGTTGGAAGGGATCTTAAAGGCCACCCAGTCCCACCCCCTGCCATGGGCAAGGACACCTTCCACTAGACCAGGTTGCTCCAAGCCTCATCCAGCCTGGCCTTGGACACTTCCAGGGATGGGGCATCCACAGCTTCTCTGGGCAGTTGGAGGGGAAAAAAAAGACTATATTCCAGATAAGGGAGTGAGGTACCATCAATATCCTCCCAGTCTCCTGGTTCCTACTGCCACAGCAGGCGCATGCCAGCTGTAAAGCACTCAGCCCTGCGGCACCTTACCTTTCAGGTGATCGGCCACCTCGGTGTAAGACTGCAGCACTGCCAGGGACACGGCCTCCCCTGAAACACAGGAGAGACACAGCCCTGAGGGACATACAGGTGACACAGCAGCCCCACCTTGCTCTCTGACAAAGTCACGTTACGATTCTCTGCATCCTAAGGTGCTTCAAGCTCTGAAAGACTCGAAAGAAATAAGGAAAATTGGACTTTATGCTTCCGCAGAGCAGACAGCAACCAGGTTGTCCAGGCTATCCCATGCTACCACCATTTCCCCTCTTGTCCAGCATTTGGTCCCTGTAAAACAAAGATTAAAAACCTACGAACACTGATATCTTCTATACTGAGAGATACTGTCTTCACACAGCATCAAGTCAACGGATTTAATCTGATTGCTAACGGTGGGTGTAGGCCCATGGGGCAGGATGCGGCACTTACTTATCGTTTAAACTTGTCTACAGGATCATCAGATTGTGGAAAACATGGTGAGCAGCGCAAGCTTAGAGAAGGGACAGCCAAGACACATTTCATACTCACAGCTGGCATAAAAAAGCACCACTGTGCGGGCAGTCTCCAAGAGGGCAGAGCGGAAGGTCTCCTCTGTCAGGACAAGGATCTGCTCCAAGGGCAGCTCTCGCTTCTTGTCCCTGGAAACCGCTTCCACCACCTGATCATCCTGAATGTCTGCAAGGGACGCACAGCCGGGCATGAACACCGGTACGCACACAGGGCAGAGGGAACCACAGCCCCCTGTGCCACCCCACGGGCACGTTTTTGTAAGCCAGCACCTCTCAGCAGGGACAGGGTGAGTGCCTGCAGGGAGTGAGGAACTGCCTCGTACGGGGGAGCGGTGACACACACGCACACTCACTGAAATGCACTCACGCCATCGCACACCAGTTATTCCCTCTGATCTGAACACTATTCTTTAAGCCTGTTGGCTCCTCCAGGATCCCATGCCACTTTTCTTTGGAAAATAAAATCTAATTTTGTATGCAAACCAAATGCGTTTTCAAGGAAGCATTCCGAAGCCAGTGTTTTCTCCCTGGGGAAGGCAAGTCTGGAACAGCTCTTACAAAACCATGTCTCAGACCTTCCCAATGGAACTGATAATTCCACGTCTCTTCGTCTGATTCCTGGAGAGGAGACAGCGTTGGGTGCACTTTAAACCCTGCATGAAGCTGGATGCACTCAAGCAGAAGCACGCCTCTCCCTCACGCAGCCCTTCTGCAACTGTTCCTCTAACAGCTGCTGATTTTATTCCCTGGTGTCTCCCCTAAAAATTACGCCTGTCTGTCACTAAACCCCACTGATCTGCAGAGAATAAAAGAGCCACTTTGTACAACAGTGACGTGACCGCGATGGTTTGCCCTGGATTTGAAAAAGTGTTCTCTGATGCTTTAGCACGAGCCTGCGTGTGTCCTGCAGATGCTGACTGCACATCCTATCTGACAACAGTCAGCTTTTCACTGGTTGCTCACCTTGATTGTTATTCTCTTTTTCATCTTCATCTTCCTCCTCCTCCTCCTCCTGGATTTGTTCCACCTTGTTCTTATCTTCCACCAGAGTTATAACTTCATCGGTGTCTTCCAAGACCAGGTATTTGATTGGCACTCCCTAAAGAGAATAAATTAGTGGGAGCAAAACATCACCCTCTGCCTATCCTGTCCGCCATCCAAACTCAAGGCTGACAGGACACCATGTCCTTATTTTTGGAGGATGCCAACAGATCCCTAAAGCTGTCAAACAGGAAACCTTCTGGCGTGTGTTTCTTTGGCCCAATTTCACCTGTGAATGAGTTTTTGTCAATCCAGACTGACTTTTCCTTGCGAGGAAATAACTGTGGCTATGTGGGATTGTGTGCCTGGGGTAGGGAACACCCGCCCCACATCCCAGCATCTTAATATGGATCCACCACCGCAAGAAAAAGCCTAGTGGGCATACAGTGATTCAGAGTGGGGAAGTACAGGGTCCACTCGGCTGTATCTGCTCCAGAGGGCTCAGGCTGGGTCTGAGCAGCCCATCACAGCCTGGGAAGCTGACACAAAAAATCCTTTATCTCATGGAGCTCAACCAAGAAGAGTACTCCCAAGAGTACGTGAAAAAGAGCAAAATTATCTTTCTCAGAAATGAGACCTTGTCGGCTTAAAACCAGTTCTGGCACCGTCTCAGCGAGAGGCACTTCAGAGAAAATGAATTTTATAATGAACTGAGAGAAATGACAAACCTGCTGGCACCTCCCGTTGGCTCTAAGAGGAGAAACCAACAGGCGCGTCTCTCACCGGGGCAGGGGAAGCCCTCAGGGGACGCTCAGGTTCAGGTCTGATCCTGTATCTTTGCAATCACAAGTGTGACAGTTCAGCTAATCTGGGGCAACGTGTGTTCCCTGGCATCTGTCGGCACCGAATTCCATCTCGCCTCACAAGCTGGGTCAGGTCCCTTCGGAGTTTAACTCATCTTGATCAACCTCATTTAACTTACACCCTGCCCTTTTCCCAGATCACTGCCAGGGGCGTGTGATTACATCAGCTCAGCACAGACCTTTGGTTGTTTGCTCTTAGTTTCACACACCTTTCCTCTCCCAACTTTTGAACACCTTCCCTAAGGGGGCAAAGGCCCTCAGAAGTCCAAATATTTGGGGAATTTGCACTTGGACTACTACCTTAGGTAGTTCACAACCCTGTGTTGCCCTAAGGTGTAATGGAGATGTCACCCTACATTTTGAACCCAAAATAAACTCAGTATTTTATCTTTACCAGCAGGTACAATTGCTCTGCAGTAGCAAACTCAGGCTGGTCCAAATACTATTTGGAAGGCTATAAAGGCTATGGAAAACCCTTCCCTTGAGCTTCTGGGAAGGCTGTCAAATAACAACGGAGCCGAGCAACATCCTAACACCTCTCAAGCACCATGCCCAGACAGGGAAATAAAGCGTTGTACAATAAAGAAATCCAGCATCTAACCTCATCCGGTGTCTTGATAGCGACGTTTGAGCGGAGCAGAACGTTCAAATCGACGCGGTCCCTTCCAAAATACAAAGTGAAGGTTAGGTGCGATGTGCAAAGTCGCCCCCTCCTCACTTAGCCTGCCTGGCTGGCAAGCCCACCTCCCCCAGCAGAACCACGTCCCCACAGCATCGTGCTTCAGGGCCCCCGAGAACTTGCAGGAACCCAGTGTCTCCCTTGGCAAGACACCACGGAAGCGGTGGCAAACAAAAGCCAGTCTGGTGTACAGAGGCTGCTCCTGAGCCCATGGAGCAGAGGGAAGTAATGGGTGGTCGATGGCAGAGGAAGCCAAATTTTCCACTTTCAAGTCAGCAAGAGACTCAAACATTTCTACACTTCCAGCCAGTCTGAAACCAAACTATCCTGATTCTGGACAAGTCCTTAAATGTGCCATCCTCTCACAGGATACAGCCTAGTTTTACTGCCTCTCATACAAATGTGAATAAGCCCACTGACCATCATCCTGGAGATGGGGTATCTGAGATTGGAAACACCACAAAAAACCAAGGAGAACCCCAAAACACCTGAGAGCAAGTACCTGGACAAAAGGGCAACTCCTGCTTTCCCCAAGAGCTGCCAGGCCACAAACTCTGCCGTCCTCCTGTCAGCCTCGTAGGTCTCTTTCTGGCTGAGGATGAACACAAGTGGCAGCCCAAGCTGTAAGTGAACGGTGGAAACCTTCTCCGGGTCCTCAGCAACCTCTGTCTGGAGAAGAAACATGGTTATACCGCAGCACATCTCCACAGCGCTGAAGGTACCTCAGCTCTTCTCCTGCACAGCCCAAGACACTATGTGTCACCATTAAATTAGGAGAACCTTGAGAAAAAACATCTAACCCCAATTCTAAAATAACCCTCAAAGCAGGTTTAACCCCCTGGTTAAACTGTTCCAATCTGTCATGACTCTCCTTGTTAAAAACCTGGGCTTTATTATGCATGTTCTTTGTGACTTAGCAACTCCAGATGTCAAATCTCCATTATTTTTTATTTACCTGGTATCCATTCCCCGGAGCAATGTGAAAATCCTGGCTGCAACATGCAAGAGCTGGCATCCTCTCCCTTCCTGCCTTGGACATGCAGCTTCATGACAGCCACGGAGCTGCTTAACAAAGTGCCTTCCCTCCACGGGCCTAATCTGGGAAGGCTGGCTGCAGGAGGCACTTCCCAGCTCACCTACCCATCCTTTTGGCTGGGAAAAGATGTCACCAGTGGGAACTGGAGGCCTGCTGAAGTTCACTGCCCCATGGGAAGAGGAGGTAGGAGGGAGACTCCTCTCCGTTGTGCTAACCAAGGCATGAGTGATATCCAACTCCCCAGGGTGCTGGGCCTCCCGTTCGGAGCCCAGAGGAGGGGCTGAGGACTTTGGGTTTGTCTAGTTTGGAGAAAAGGAGGCTGAGGGGCAACCTCATTGCTCTCCACAGCTTCCTGAGGAGGGGACGGGGAGAGGGAGGTGCTGAGCTCTTCTCCCTAGGATCCAGGGATAGGGCACATGGGAATGGACCAAAGCTCCACCAGCGGAGGATTAGACTGGATATTAGGAAGCATTTCTTTACCAGGATGGTGGTCAGACACTGGAACAGGCTTTCTGGAGAGGTGGTCAATGCCCCAAGCCTGTCAGTGTTTGAGGCATTTTAGGGCCAATGCCCTAAGCAGTATGCTTCAACTTCTCGGCAGTGCTGAAGTGGTCAGGCAGTTGGACTAGATGGTCATTGTTGGTCCCTTCCAACTGAAACAATCTAATCTATTCTGTTCTATTCACCTGGTAAAAGCAGCACAAGCTTGTCAGTAGTAGTGGACAATGCCCTTAATACCATGCTTTAACTTTTGGTCAGCCCTGAAGTGCTCAGGCAGTTGGAGCAGATGATCACTGTAGGTCCTTTCCAACTGAAATAGTTCTGTTCTGTTCTATTCTATTCTATTCTATTCTATTCTATTCTACCCTGTTCCGTTCCGTTCTGTTCCATTTCTATTCCATTCCATTCCATTCCATTCTCTTTCTATTCTATTCATGTTCCATCAAAGTCCAAAGGGCACCTCCACCCCGTTCCCACTCCCACTTACAGACAACTAGAGGAGCATACATGGGTGTCAGGGCTCCTTGGAAAGGCCTAAGCAAGCCGAGCAGTGCAACGGAGCATTGCTCCCATCCAGTCCCATGCCTGTTCCTTGCTTGGGTCCAACCTGGGAGCTTTGCCATTACATTCAGGGGGAAGGGGCAGGTTGTCCCGCTCAGCCTTGCCCTCTGCTCCCACCTCCTGCATCCTCACACCGCAGCCCAAGGGGCTCCCTTTTCCCAGTCGTACCACCAGAGGAGCCCCCATGAGCTTGAGGTGCCGGTGGATGTTGAGCAAGGTCAGAGCCTGCCCCATGGCTGTCCTCCTGCAGGGCTGCTCTGGGTCCGTGGCCCGCTGGCAGTGGCAGAACAACAGCTGGGCAGATGACACATCAGGCTCGTCGCTGCTGTGAGAGAGAAAACAAAACCCATGCTGAGCGAGGGTTCTGAGACGCCCTGACAGAACGACCACGTTTGCTGACATGTTTTACAGGGCAGATGATCCTCAAGTTCAGGGTTTGGCAGGACCAGCCATGCCACTGCAGTGGAGACCCTGGCAGGAAGAGGACAGCTGAAGTCGACAGCTTTGCTTGGGTATTTTACCTCTCCAATGACATCTTACAGACCTTGTAAGGAATATACCTTTGTGGTGAGGCACTGGGACAGGTTGCCCAGGGAAGCTGTGGATGCCCCATCCCTGGAAGCGTCCAAGGCCAGGCTGGATGAGGCTTGGAGCAACCTGGTCTAGTGGAAGGTGTCCCTGCCCATGGCAGGGGGGTTGGAACTGGATGGTCTTTAACCCAAACCCTTCCAACCCAAACCATTCTGTGATTCTATTCCACCCCTGGAACAGCATTGGTTTTGGCTGCTCCAAAGGAAGCTGTGAGATTGAGTTCCCTGGATGGTCCCCTGGTTAGACATTCCTGTTCTGATATCACCACTGCTGTTGGCCTGTAGGGCAATTTTGGGAAGTCATGCTTCTTTTCCTATGCACCCATTCCCCATCTCTAAAACAAGGATCACCTCTGTCAAGGGTTTTAAGATGTCTATGGAAGAGGAGTGTAGTATTAAGATCTCAAAACCTGCTGTCCCGGTTGGCTGAGAGCTATTTCATGTTGGAGACACCACATTTCCTCAGCTAAGGAAATGGCCTGCTGGTGTCCTCCCCGCTTTAAGCAAAATGAAGCCAATTTCTGTCCAAATGACAACCGTGCCATCTAGTGGTAGTCCAGAAACGCTGCCCCTGAGCATGATCCTGGAAGGAAAGCAGGGGAAGGACCACTTTTGGAGCCTGTTCTGTCAGCTGTGAGAACAGGCAAGTCGTTATATAAATATTTTGCTGAAGATGCAACGTACTATGTGATATTCCCACCTTCCTCCCTCTCCGTTTCCTGACTGCAGTAGGGCACAGCAGCAGCGAGTCATGTGGAAGGATCTGCCCTCCTAATGCAGCTTCTCCCGTGGGGGAAGGGGATGGCCTGAGGGTGGGAAGTCCCAAATATATGAGCAGCGTCTCATGCAGCTGAACTGCAGAACTCTCCGCTGCCAGAAATGCCGAGATGAAATGTAAAAATGTTGTTTAAAACACCCCGGTGGCTGTTAACACCATCATAGAGGTTTGGCTCCCATCCCTGAGAGTCCTAAAACCTCTGACTGCCAGAGGATGGGAGGCCGCAGGCAACACACATCCACTTCCCCATACCCCTTGGGAAGCACCTACGGACACTGCAGAGGTAAGATCTGGAGCTGGGTGGGCTTTGCTCCAGCAACTACAGCACTCCTTACCCTTCTGGCTGCCCAGGCTCAATCATCAAAGCACAAGGCTGGGTGTTTTAAGACTATAACATCAGCTATATCAGCCCTCCTGAAAACCCATGGCTGAGGTTTGATCAGCCAGCTCTGGAAAAGAGACAGAGGGCTCTTTTCCTAGAAAATCCCATTCAATCAACAGTCAAAAATGGCATGGCTGGTCCAAATCCAGGAACACAAGCAGGTTTTGGAAAAGCAAAACGAATCTGACTGTCCACCTTTGGCATAACATCCTAAAACCACCCCAGATTTAATCTGGGAAACTGAGAAACCAAGAGTAGAGCAGGGAGTGCGGGGGAGCAGCTCCACCTGGTGTGTGTGTGTGTCTGGACATACCCAACCTCTTTCAGCAGCGTTGCCTCAGTTGTCAGAACAAACTGGTGGACGGTCCCGTAAGCAAAAGCCGCCTCCATCACGGCTCTGTGCTCTGGAAAGAGAAAGGCAAGATGAACACATCTCAGCTCCTTCCAGATCTCCCTCTTCATCCTTCCCAGTTGGAAATATCAATTCCCAGGCTTTTAGAAACTTTCAGTGAAAAGTCACAGCTGTCTGAAGACACACCATGAAGGTAACTGGACCCGGTTGCTGATCCCCAGTAAACACACAGGTTGTGTATGTGAATCCATCCAGAGATATCCTTATGGGTTTATTTATTTTTTAAGACAGCAACTGCTTGCTTGCTTTGCCTCTCCAGTCCATCCCTGAGAGTTTATGCTCCTAGCAAAACTCTGGTGCAACTGATCCCTTTGGAAGCACATCAAGACATACAGAGGTGGAGAACTGGTGTCTGGGTGGCCCTTTCAGGTTTCATTCGCCCTCCACATTCAGGATTTTGGGTCAGAAAAGCAGCTCCCTTGCACCTTAGTAAAAAAGGCTCTGGGAGGAGAGCAAGGATGAAAAGCTGAGCGTTAATACCTGCCGTCCCAGTAGCTGGTACATAGGCAAAGACCATGTTCGACCTCCCTTTCAACGCATTTTCAATGTTCTGAAGATCTGCCAGCGTTTCAACGTATTTAACTTCATTGAAGAGCAGGGCACTGAGGAGTCAGAAAAGACTCATTAGCAACTGTTTCAAGAGCAAATTTGCAGCCACGTAACTGTGATGGGAAAAAAAAACCAAGGTAAAATTCCAGCTTCTTGCTGGCAGGTTGAAGATTCACAGCCAAACACAGCTGCCCAGATGTGTGCTGGTGAGTCAAGGGCATAGATTTAACAGGGTCAGACCATACCAAAGAGAGAAGCAGCCTTCTGCTTGGCTGAGAGCAGCCTCTGGAAGAGGTGGGGTTTGTGTTTATGTAAAACTTTGTATCAACACGTGAAAACGGGAAGTAAAGGATTTCCCAGAGATGCACCTGGTCTGTACTTACAACAAAATGTTAGCAACGATGGAGTTCACATCAAACAAGGCATCGGTGGGGAACTCTCTGATCAGCACGTTACCTCTAGGGAGGGAAGAAAGAGTATCAGCAAAGAAACTGCGAGAGTTAAATGTACCAACTTAATTTTCACTCTGTGGAATGCTTCCGGGTATCTGCTGGCAGGTACGGCTGGAAAGAAAACTCCAGGATTGAATTTGGGGATTTTGTAGGACTCAGTGTCCCTGGCAATGCTGCTTTAGCAAAGTCACGTCTGTCACTGCCGTTTCACTCAGCTCCTGGGGGCTGTGGAGAAGCCCAGCACAGACCGACAGGTCCCTAAACACCAAGCATCACCCTGTAGACCCTCACCACCAGAGGAAATGTTGGTCAGGTCCAACAGTCAATGAGAACTGAGCTGATCCATGGAGAGACCATGAGCTTAACCATCCCATCCAGCGCAGACGAGCTAACCACACCCACGGGAAGAGCACCAAAGAGTGTTCCGAGACCCAAAACCTAGTGGTCTAACTCCGGAGAACCTGGTGGTGAGAGGTCACAAGGCTGGAACTCTGATGGAGGATTTCCCTCGATGTTTCACTAGCAGCACAGCCCTTTGCTGCTCAAAGGAACACGGGGCATGATGGGAGGTTTCCCCCTGAGGACAAAGCATCTACTGTGCCTGTGTTGGACCATTCTGGGGTACTAAATTCTGTATGCCACTGCTGTCCTCATGGCTCCTTTCTTCCTACACAAATATCTCTGATCACTGACAGAATTTCCTTGAAATATTTGCACTGGAAAGCCATCACAGTGCGCCCAGAAAGCCCTCCTCACCTGAACAGGTAGGCTTTCCTTAACGCATCTTCTCTTCTGCAGTATCTTGAGACATCCTCTTTGGGACAATTAACCTAGACATTGAAAGCATGGAATTAGACATTCAGCTCCACAAATGACTACAGACATACAGCACTGGGGTTTTCTTTCATTCAAGAGTGTAAATACAGCCTTCCCAAACCTGCTGGGAGAGAAAATACAACAAAACGGAGTCCAGAGTTTGTACTTCAGTTCTCCAGCTCAGCCTGCCTTGATTTGGGTCATATGGGATCAAGGGATCTTACGATCTGCCCAGCATATTCAAAAAGACAGATTACTACATGCTTATTAAGCTCAGCCTGTATCTGGAGGAAATTAAATACATACACACATATATATATAAGTCTTATAATCTAATTACACTTTCCTGAATTTGTAATTCCTTTACTAAAATCTGCATAAAGGTCCAGCTAAAAACCTCTTTATATGAAATCATTATTGCACTGAATTGAAAAGAAGTGAACCAACCCCATCCATCATTCTGAGCAGTTTGAGGTGGCGGGAGGGAGCTGTGGAGGGAGTCAGGCAAGTCCCACCTTCTCAGTGAGACGAGCAGGCTGATGCCCTCCTGTGCAGCACACCGGGGATCGTACTCTTCCTCGTGCCATGCCCACGGGTACAGGGCAATGAACAGGCAACTCCACACACCCCATGCAGCTGCTGGGGGGCCACATTAAATCAGCCAGTTAAGCCTGGTACACGGGGATGCCCATAAAAAAGACAATCGGGGAAAAATGTGGCCCCTAAACCCACCAATACAAATCACAAATGCACAGGTTCATCTTGGGAGACCAGAAGCAGCTTTGGGCTTCCCCTGCCTGCCCCTCAGCGCTGCCAGCCCTCTGCTTCACTGTGTTTGGAGACACAGGCACAACATCACAGAATCACAACATGGTTTAGGTTGGAAGG